AGAGGATTGGTGCCAACGATGGGAGGGGGGAGAGGAGCAGAATTTTCACCTTACAAAAATACGGTGCGATCGCAGTCCACCTGAGAGTAGGACACCTTGATGTTTTGGTAAGGGGGGCCGGGGGGAATGGGCAGGCGGCCAATATATGTTAACCGTAACCCTAAACATATTTGTAGCCCCCCCCCCCCCCCCCTCCTCAATATGAAAAATAAAAATTTAAAAAGAAAAGAAAATAGGGCCATGCAAACAGAAAGCATCGTGTGTGCATGCACGTGTGTAGTGTAACTCTGGTGGGTCAGGGAGGGGCGCTATGATAGATGCAGCATTTGAGAAGACACCAACGGGGAGTTACAACACAGAGGAAGCTGGCTGCAGAGACTATCAGCAGAGAGAAGAAAGAGTTGCAAAGACCAGGTGGAACGTGCCAGGTTGTTTGAGAGAAGGCATGCAAAGGGGGGGTATGAAACAGCGTCAGACTGGTGATGGGAAAGTGAGGATCACTTAGGGCCTGAAGAGCAGCCTGTCCTGCACAGACATGTGGATTTTGAGTCAGAAAACCATGTGGTGTTTTGAGGCAGAGGAGTGACATGATGGCAACAGTACTTTAAAGGGATTATTTAAAAGAACGCTTTAGATGGCGGCCAGGACAGCGTCAAGGTTGGCAACAGGGAGATGGCTGGAAAGCTACAGAAAACCTAGGATGAGAGTTGATGGTGGTGGCAGTGGTGTGGGGAAGAGAACAAGACTCCTGGTACATTCTGCAGGTAGCACAGATAGGATTTGTGATGGCGTGGTTTTGGAAGGTTACAAGAAAGAAAAGAATCAAAGACCATAACACAAGGTTTGGATCTAATCAATTAGAAGATAAGAGTTCTCAGTTCAGAGATGGAGGAAAAGGAGAAGCTTGGGAATCGGGCAGTAGTTGGCACACGAGCTTGGTTTTGATGTGTTTTAGACTGTGAGATACCAATCAGTCCCTTCTACAGCTAGAAATGTGTCATTTACTAACCGATGGCCAATAACTTACTTAAATTTTAAATTAAAATGAAAAATTCCTTTCTTGCAGTTTACACTAGCACATTTAAGTACTCAATAGCTTCATGTGGGTATGGCTACCACCATCATTGGACAGCACAGATAGCAGCATATCCTTGGCAGAAGTTTCTACTGGCATCCATTGTCCCTAAACTAAGTTTTTATTGAGTAAGCTACTTTAGGCATGCAATGGTGTACAGAAAAATACAAGCAAGAGCCATCACTCTGAGGGAGTTCCGCAGAGAAGCGAAGTGGCTAACAACACTAAAGTAAAATTTAACTATAAAATGTGCTCTTTGAACACTGATTTGTTGAGGCAAACTATATGAGAACATAGGCTTTTTAGAAAGAGACCCACTCTACCCCTCAGGAGCCCAGCCCCAATCAACTTTGTTTCTAGTAACATGCTTGTTCTGGCCGAGTTAAAATATATAGCGAAAAGGATCACAAAAGTGGGAACTGAGAAGAAATTCTAAATCTTGGTACTTTAAATGGTACCAGGTATCAATATTGTGGATCAGAAACCAAAACTTTAAACTTCCCTTAAACTTCATGATTTCTTCCTCCTCTCTTTCCTCCTACTCTTTTGTTGCTAGACTTTATTTCTGTGTTAAGCTCTAAGCTATTGAGGGCAGAATATATCCTTTTCATATTTTGGTGTGAGCAGTGTTAATTAAGCAAATGCATTTTCTCCACTATAATTTATACAGGTGATCTGTCAAGGCTTTTCTGTTCACTTACAGACTTGAGAAACAGTTTGAAACTGCTGAAATATAGGCATTTTCTGGGAATAATTTACAGGGGAAACAAAGTAGAATATTTAAATTGGGAATGTTTCAGAAAGCCCAGGATGTATAGTGACCAAACACACAGTGTACTCTTGTTGGGCAGTTTAAACACTTCATGAAAATACAATGTTTCAATCATGGTTTCACTTTAGCTATTCTGTCACATTTGAAAAAGTATTGTTCATCCATCATCTAAATATAATGTGTCAAAGCAGTCAAAGATTAGTGTAAAAAGGATTTCTTCCTATAGGTTAGATACATTCAACATCTTTCATCAAACTAAGTTCGTTTTCAGCTCTTTTCTAATTTGATTTGATTAATAGCCTAAGAAAATGTCAGCTGTCATACATATATCTGTAGATTGCCACACTGTACACATATTTTCACAGTAAATCATTCTGATAGTTTCTGTGGTTTCCTAAAAATAATTTTAACCATCCAGAGCAACTCAGTAACTTCTAATCAAGATTATACTGTGTGTGCATGTGTGTGTGTACATACTATATGTTATATTCTGTGTGCGCGCGCGTGCGCGCGCACACACACACACACACACACACACACACAGAGTATGATATATAGTGCCCCCATGAAGCAAATATGTAGACTTAAACCCAAGAAAGCAGTTTACATGTTGTTTCAGTAATAAATTCTTCACAAACTTTTGTGGATTTGTTCATTCACTCATAGTATAGCTAAACATTTACTTTGTCAAGCCACGGAAATTCTGGAATTGTTTTTTAGAGCAGTAATTCTCCCTAATTAATAAACCCTCACAACAGAAACAGGATCCACAGCTCTTGGCTATTTGCCAGTTAAGTCAACTCTTAGATGAATTCTGAATCCAATGAAATGTTTATGATACAGCAAAAGAGATGTTTAGCTGAGTTTGGAGGAATATTATAAAACACCTGTATTCAAGTTGTCAACTTTTCAAAAAGGTCTTGGGCTGAGTTATTGAGCAAGCAAAAATGGGAAGGTAGAATAATTTAAAACTTCTTTTTCATTTGTTCACAAGTAAGTATATTCTTTAATCCAAATGAATAAACATATACATCTGGACATTTTTTCCCTTGAAATTCTGTGTAGAAATGTTGTTACCATATGCACAGTTATAACACCCTCAACTACTCTGACTTTGTAAAAATACTCATTGTTTTTTTATTTTAGCACTGCCTGTGGCTTAATTCCCAAATACAACAAAGAAAGCTAAATTTGACAAATGATAATCCTAGTCTTCACTAAGGAAAATAAAGCTGTATATTTAAATTCAAATACATTATGTGAGGCTCTTAACAGGGGCAATTACGAATAAGTTGGTAGAAAAGAGTATGAAATTAAATGCCTAATCTTCCCTCTTTAATTATTAAACTTAAGTCTACAAATATTAGTATAAGATGCAAGAAAATTTCATTGGATGTGAAAGCCTAGGATTTTTTGCATTGCTGTAATATTTTAGTGTGCTGTAGTGTTTGAGGAAAAAAAAAAGGATGTCAATATTAAAAGAAAGCCTTTATCTTTGTATAGGGCATTATCAACTTCCAACAGTGCCTCTGTCACAACACAGGTGGCACCCTTATCTGTACCAAATGCTAAGGTGCCTTGGCAACATCGTAACTCTTTCAATAGAAACTAGCAAGACATAAACTTTTGATGAGAAAGGCAAAGACGAAGGCACTGACAGATTTTAACGAATCAGATAATAACAAACTCTAATACACATCACTGGTTTTACGATGCAGGTGTTTATGCCCTTCATGCTGTTCCAAAAGGATTTAAGGAACTAATAAATATGAATAAATTATGATACATGTCAGTTTAAAATAAATTAGAAGAAAAAGGTCAAACAGGGTAGGAGAGTAAGATGGGGCCAGGAGCTGTGCTTCACCTTGCCATACAGTAAGATTAAAAAAGTAAACATTACCTTCCTAATGAGGAACAATGTTATGACTTGGCTGTATTTCTAGAATTCAGAAATAAACAATAAATAGGATTTTTTCCTAATGAGGGATCTAGGAACTAAGAATCTAAGTTTTGGCTCAAGAAAACTTCTTTAGTTCCTCCAGAAACCACTGTTTAAGGTGAACAATGGGCGGGGTGTGGTGGCTCAGCCTGTAATTCAGCACTCTAGGAGCGAGTAGATTGTTTGAGCTCAGGTGTTCGAGACCAGCCTAAGCAAAAGCGAGACTCCGTCTCTACTAAAAATAGAAATTAGCTGGACAACTAAAAATATCTATAGAAAAAATCAGCTGGGCATGGTGGTGCATGCCTGTAGTCCAGCTTCTCAGGAGCTGAGGCAGGAGGCTCGCTTGAGCCCAGGAGTTTAGGTTGCTGTGAGCTAGGCTGACGCCAAGCACTCTAGCTCAGGGGCAACAGAGTGAGACCTGTCTCAAAAAAAAAAAAAAAAACCACAAAAAAACGCTGAACAAGGGTGAGGAGAAGGCAGTGGAGATGCTAGACTCAGGTGAGTAAAATCTGGGGAGTCAGAGAACAAGCATCATTGCAGATTTACCTAAATATGTGGCAAACAGTAATGGTGAAAATGCGCCTCCGTGACTTACTATGGAACCAAATGAACAACATCCACTGAGACCTGTATTTCATACAAACATAAACACACATGCACCTAACAAAAAGGAAGCATGATGTACTTTCATCTCGGACGCCCACAGGGTGCGCTTACCTATCGCTTGAGCTAAGGCTATTACAACCTCCTGGCAAGTAGTGACTTCGGTGACCCCACAAACAATCCTCTGAACTCCATCCACCCATACTTTAAGTTCCATGGTGCACCGGCCAGTCACGCAAGGGCCCTGAGAGTGGTCATCAGGGTGTCAGGTCATGTCTCAGGCTACAGGAACACGGATGGGGAAGGCAGAGTCTGTGTGGTCAGCTTGAAAAAGGAAAAAAAAAATCGTTTTTAATAAAATAAATCTTAACATTTCTTCCAGTGAGTGCATTAATATTACACAATTTTAATGTCATAATCCTACTATTGTTAAAGTCCACATGCTTACTTATCTTACAGAAATGAATTCAGCAGCGCAAATGCAACGACAGCCACCTGACATCGATTCATGTTACTATTTTTATAATAATGATTTTAATCATTAAGTCATGCTCCATCGGGTTAAAAATTCTCATTTCCTTGACATATTGCTCAATACACGAGCTGTTTTTCTGTCCTTTTTTTTTTTTTTCTTTTTTGAATTCTTTCATTAGGACAATTTCTAAGGTTAAAAAAAAAAAAAGGAAAAAAAGTTTCTGTCATTTCAGGAATCATAAATAACCGCACCAATTTCCATCACTTGGCCAGTGTTGCTAACAGTCTTTAAAAGCAGTTGTCAAGGTAGCTTACTAACTCAATCTGCACTGCTCTGTTTAATGTGCCCCTTGCCTCCCTCTGTCCCCCAGGAGTCAGAGCATCTTCCTCACCGCCGGGACCCCAGCACCGAGCACAGCATGAGGACGGGGGTGCAGAAAATCTTACCAGAAGGAAATGAATTACTCTGATGGTTGACAGTTTCCCCACGTATGAACTGCTTGCCCTTTTCTCATTTAAATGGGCTTGACTGTTTTCTTAAATTTTAAGAGTTGTGCAAATAATACAAACTTTAACCTTTTGTTATACTTGCCGTATTTACCCAGTGTTTGATTTTATTTTTTAAATCTGGTTGTGTTATATGCCAAGCAGAAAATTTTACATTCTCATATAGTCAAACCAAATGCCTTGACTTCTTCTATTGATTAGAATGGTACTACCCTGCTAAAAATCAATTACGCACACTTTTTTTTTCCCTGTGGGTTTTAAAAATCTCAACTCTTCCCGTGTTAAATCTCTAATCAATCTATCATTTATTTTCCCCATTGTTTTGTGGTCTTCCTATTTCTTTGTTGTTTTTACAAAAGAATGTTAACATTTATGAGATGTGATGAACACTGATTTAATTAAGAGAACATTTGGATTTGTTTAAAGGTTTACAATGGCGCTGGTGTTTCAGGATTAATGACTTACTGAAAAAGTTATTTAAAAAACACTAAAACTTTTTCTTACAAAACAGTATTTTACTATAAGCAGTAGCTTGGTCCCTTGCACATTCTCTTAAAGGACCCAAGACAATTCTGGGCCGCCTGGTCACCTGGGTAGATGAGTCAGAACATGCAAGGTGAAGGAGAAGAAAGCTAATTACTCTATCCAGAGAAGGTACGAAATTCCTTTTTGTCATCCTGAAAACAAGAAAGGACTGACTGAACATCAATTGCCCAGCATACAGCTTCAGCTCTCTCTGCCTACGACACGCTGCAAGGTTTCATAACCCTACTGTATAAACAGAGAAAGGGCGATCTTGGCAAGAACAAGCTGATTCCCATAACTGTGATCAGAGGGCCTGCGAGGTGTTAAAGTTTCTGGGGAAAAACGGTTTCCAAAGTCAAAGAAATGTAAGAAATCCAGTAAACAAAGTTAAACAAGTTCCTTTACAGCTAGACTTCTATTACACTTTAATAGGCTGGTGTGCACTCTAATTTTCAAATATGAGTTTTATATGTTGCCCTTCAATCTAGAGAACATTTAAGGAAACAGAAGAGTTCTAACTTAAAAGACTTTTTTTCTTTTCTACTAAGCACCCTACTTACTAAAATTAGAACATGTTTTATTCTTTCTTTATTCAAAAAATGGCTAAACATTAACATATTGCTTTATTAATTTTTTTTTTTTTTTTGAGACAGAGTCTCGCTTTGTTGCCCAGGCTAGAGTGCCATGGCGTCAGCCTAGCTCACAGCAACCTAAAACTCCTGGGCTCAAACAATCCTCCTGCCTCAGCCTCCCGAGTAGCTGGGACTACAGGCATGCGCCACCATGCCCAGCTAATTTTTTCTATATATATTAGTTGGCCAATTAATTTCTTTCTATTTTTAGTAGAGACCGGGTCTCACTCTTGCTCAGGGTGGTTTCGAACCCCTGACCTTGAGCAATCCGCCCGCCTTGGCCTCCCAGAGTGCTAGGATTACAGGCGTGAGCCACCGTGCCCGGCCTTTATTAAATTTTTTTAAAAGCTGAATTAAAGTCCATTTAATATCTAGTCCCTTATTTTTCACCAAAAATCTTAAACTTGGGAAATGTACCAAGAAAAGTCTCATTAAAAACCTCCCTTTCCCCAAAGAAACTTGTCATTTACAAGAATCCTATGAGACTCATTTTTTCCTTAATTGTGAAAGAACACTTAACATGAGATATATCCTTTTAATACACTTAGTTTAGGTTAGTTTTTGAGACAGGGTTGCCTCTGGCAACTTCCATTCTATTCTCTATTTCTACAAATTTGATTGTTTTAGACACCTCATATAAGTTCTATAATCCGTTTTTGGCTTTAGTATACTACCACATACATTCTTATCTGAATTACCACTGTTTCACTTGAAACTTATATTAAGTGAACAGAAACGAACATAAGGTGTGTAAATCTGTTAAATATTACAGAGTACAATAATCTTACGGGAAAACACTGAGCATAAATAATACTGCTGAGCAATATAAACTTGCAAAGTATTCATCTTCTTGATCGGAGACTTCCCACCGTGGCTCATGACACACAGAAGACCAGTGACTGCATTTTTGTTTCAATACCACTAATAATATCTTTCAGACATGAGCCTGTAAGGAGAGCAGGCCTGTGTGATCCATGGTTAGGAAACTGGGCTGCACAGCAGGAGGCCAGCGAGTGAAGCCTCATCTGTATTTACACCTGCTCCCCATCCCTCGAATCACCCCCCTGAGCTCCACCTCCTGTCAGATCAGTGGCAGCATTAGATTCTGCATTATGGTGAGTTGTATAATTATTTCATTATATATTTACTATGTAATAATAGAAATAAAGTGCACAATAAATGTAATGCACTGGAATCATCCTGAAACCATCTCCCACCCCAGTCCGTGGAAAAATAATCTTCCATGAAACCGGTCCCTGGGGCCAAAAAGGTTGGGGACCACTGCCTTAATAGATCAGGTCAATGGACCAGGCTGCCTCAAATTTTATCTCTAAGAGGGCCACCGTTTTCAGGAAAACATGGCTTCTGTCAGGTTTTGGGGTTATACTGACAATCATCTCTAGCACCCCTAAAAAAAAAATCACAGCATCACTCATGAGAGTCATTTGAAGAACCTGTCTCTCCTCTCTTTCCTCTAGGAAGAACATGACCTCTAGGAGCTGTAACCTTGACCTCTCCTTCATACCCTCCAGAATCCGACTGCAACAGCTCTAGGCCCAGCCTCAAAACTAGACTAGAAGGAAAAATGGAAGTCCTACATTGTAGGTGTGTGTGATGGATCAGTCATCTTTGGAAGTGATGGCCCAGGAAGCAAACGGACTCATGCATTCCAGTTGGAATTTGGAATGAAGTTTTCCATGGAAACAGTGATGTAGACAGAAGTAAGGTTCCACTGCAAGGGTATCAATATAGTCCAGTTACTGTTTTCATTATGAGGTTTCTATATGCAAGTCACTATTATTTTTATAATTTTTAAAATGAAGAACTAGGTTTATTCAGTAACATTCTAGCAGGGAACAAGTGTTCCTTAGCTATGTACCGCTGACTGTCATAAAAGCTTACTGGAATTCAGCATCTGCATTTGTAGAAACGTATTCCCTCAAGATCAATGCTTTAATAAAGCAATTATAGTCAATCCTCATTACGTGCAGATTCCGCATTTGTGAATCAGTCTAGTTGCTAAAAATTTGTTTGTAATCCCAAAAGTCAATACCCCTGGTGCTTTCACAGTAATTTGCGAATGCGTACACGAGTAGTGGAAAATTTGAGCTTCCTGACACACACAGGTTCCCAGCTGAGACCAAACAAGGTGACACTCTGCCTTTTTGTTTCGGCTCTCATAGTGTCAAGTGCTCTTTTCTCAGTCTCTTTAATGTCATGTATGTTTTGCGCTTTTTGTTGGTGATTTCACTGTTCAGAACGGCCCCCAAGCATAGTGCCAAAGTGCTGCATGGTGTTTCTGAGGCAGGAAGGCTGTGATGTGACTTATGGAGAAAAATACGTGTTAGGTAAGCTTTGTTTAGGCATGAGTTATAGTGCTGTTGGCCGTAAGCTCAATGTTAATGAATCAACAGTGTATATTAAATAAGGTGTCTCTAAACAGAAAAAAAAAAAAAAAACAACCCATAAAACAGTGTTATGTATTGCTCGGTGAACACAAATGTTGTTGCCAGAGGCTGGAAGAAAACGAACCCTGTGTTTCCCCTAAGAATGGTGGTTCAGTATTTGCTAATTCAGCGTTCACGTGGATCTTATACCTGGGGCAGGTCTGCGTCCCAGCAGGAACCAGGTGCACAGCAGGGGGCGCTCCACCTGCACCCACAGCCACTCCCCATCACCCCCTGCCCCGCTATCACTGCAGCGATCAGACCCTCAGAGGAGCGCGAGCCCCACTGCACACCGCGCATGGGAGGGATCTAGGCTGAGCGCCACGTGAGAATCCAATGCCTACTGAGTGGAGCCCAGGTGGCGAGGCACCAGTCTGTGGAAAAACTGTATTCCATGAAACGGCTCCTGGTGTCAAAAAGGCTGGGGACCACTGCCTTATAGGACATCAATATCATGAACAACAACAACTTACTGTATATTTTTAGGGGGGCATAACTTCCTTCTGATGGCAACCATCAAGCTATTGAGCAAATTCCATTACTCCCTGGGCATTAGAAGCAAGCATACAGGCGCGGCTTACTGCCAATTTTAACACTTCTGTCATTGCTAATTTTGTTTAAGATCTGAAGTGATACCATATCAGAGTACTCTTTTAAAAAATATAGAATACAGATATGTTGGGTTATATAATAAAATCTTCACAATCAGGCTAGCAACTTTAATCAAATCAAGTACTGA